CGCAGAAATGGGGCATTTTGCACCCCGCTCCCACGTCCGGGCACCTGGTTTCTGATTACTCAGTGAGGGACATTCACCTCAATGAGGGCCCTCGCGCGTCTCCCCCCGCAAGCCTAGGTTGCAGGCACGGGGACCTGGGAAGCACCATCCGCGTATGCTTTTCTTTTTTTTTTTTTTTTTTTTTTAATAGAGGCATGTTTATTTCTTTATTTATTTGTTTTGTTTGTTTGTTCTGTTTACACATGCACTGGGTACAGTCAGAAGCGCGCGGAGGGTGAGAGAATCCACCAGAGCCAGAGCGGGGAGCAGAGCAGGCAGAAGGACCGAAGTACACTGCTGAGGGGAGCAGCGGGCGGCAGGAGAGGTCTGCGCACCATGTGGGACCCTCCTCCGGTGGCCGGGGAGCAGCCGGGGATCGAACCGGCGCTGCAGAGGCCGCGGGCAGCTTCGTAACCCAGCGCTCAACCGCTGCGCCACCGGGGAGGCCCCGCGTATGCTTTTCAAGCGCCGCTTTTCCGCCAAGCTTACCGGCTGGTCTGGGGCTGTTCGTAGGTCTCTTGGGGGTCTTTATTTTTCTCCAATGGAGCCGTTCGCTCACCTCCGCTCACAGGAGCCGTTCGCTCACCTCCGTGACGGATCCTGCACGATTCTCCACAGCTCCAGTTCACAGGGTGCGGTGCTGCAATAGTTCCTTTCCACTCACAGTCCCGCTTGCTGCGTCGTTTGTTTCTTGTTGGTCGTTTTAGTTTGTTTTTTCCTCCTCTCTGCTGGTCGGAGAGTGCCGACTTTGTGGGTGGGGGAGGGGAGCAGGTTCTGCGCTTTCCTCCCTTCTAGTCCTCTTTTATGGCAACTTTCTTTTTTGGGCAGTTTGCCAGAGTCGCCAGTTTATTTTCCGTGTCCCTGTTCTCTCAGGGACCTGCTGCTTTTCCTCCCTATTAACTTTTTTTTTTTTTTTATGGGAGGTCTTACTCGCGGCCTTTCCTCACCGCCATGTTGAAGACGTCTCTATTTTCAAAAGATTATTAGGGCGAAGGTTCTTTGCACTTTCTTTTGCCGCATTATACACAGATGTGTGTCTTTATGGGTAGTTATGGAATCTCATTTGAATTATCCAGTTCTGCAAAACCTCAAGCAATAAGGATGATTTATCTCTGTGTATTGTTGACTACATCAGTTACAGATATGGGATACCAGAAAGCAGCAAGTGCCTAGGTTACCAGTGTAAGAACTTGCCATCATTTTATGGTGAACTTACTAGACTACTAGTAGCCACTGTGATTTCCAAGTAGTAGTGAAAAAAAAAGCAATATTTGAAGTATATGAAGCAACTGTAAAATACTGTACATAATATCTTTTTACATGTAATATAAGAATATCTTTGGTTTCCATTGGTCATAAAGTCACAGATACAATTAATATCTCTATGAATTTCTATTTTGACTTGAAAGAGACTGTAGGAAAGCCGTGATACAAAAAGTCCTCAATAGTAATAAATGATATTTTGGACTTTTTTGTAGACAAAGTCAAGAACTGAGGTTAAAATTAAAGAGAAAATAAATATGTCAAGTCCTTAGAACCCTCAAGAGAGCTAAATCTGTGAATAGGAAGTGAGTGACCCTATTCCTTTATTGTTTATGCTAAGGCATCCATCTGTGTAGATTGGGACACTTGGAAGCATAAATTTACAAATGGAAATTTTTTTCTTACATAAGGTCTTTTCACATAAATATAGACTACGGAATAAGAAGATTTAGTAACTCCTTATCCTTTAAGTCTCAGCTCATCCTCCAAGTTAACCTTTTCAAGGAAGTTCATAAGTCCCTGGAAACTCCTATATGTTGCAATCAACCATACTGATAATTTTTGGCTGAAGACTTTTTTTCTGTTATTTCACTGGATTCTAAGCTCCCTGTAGACAGAGACAAATGTCTGATTTATTCTTTGGTTTGTTCCTAGCAAATAACACAGTGTCTGGTACATGACAGGTACTTACCAAAGATTTGTGAAGTGAAAAGGTAAGTTATCAAATATTTTCTGAAGCCACTTCCCTCCCATTGGTAAAGTTGGTAATGATGAAAAGAATTATGGGAAAGGGAATCAACCATGACCCTATGTTTAGAGCTCACTAGGACTTCCATTTCATTCAAAAGGCTGATTTATACCCAATGACTACTGCATAACAGAGGATTTTCAAAATTTTAGAGCTCAGAATATCAACATATCCAACAGCTAACTTCACTGACTGATAAAAAGCTCCAAAGAACTGAAAGTGCAATGCTTCTTTTATATGGACAAGCTTCTTAAATCCTGTTTTTCCTAAGTTTTACCTAATAGAATCATTTGTATGATCTTGTTTAAATTAGCAAACTAAGTTAAATAAATGATTTTGATGAACATAGCTATTTTCAAAGGCTTACTGAGAATTACACTGCTAAGTGCATTAACTTCAGTGTAAAGGGAGATCAGCTGTGACTAATCTAGTTCTTTTTTACCCATATTATTCTTTGATTTATTTTTTCCAAGTGTAGCAGACAAAAATCAGCTTTTCTTCTGAGATACTGTAATCTATGTTCTAATGGTAAGCACTTTCTTTGTATTCCAAATTAGTATCTCATAAAAGGAGTGAGATTTTTTTTCACCCAGTTTGGCTATGCTGGTATAACTTACAGACAGACAAGATTAGTGGCCTTAATATATATTCTCGATTATTGTTACATGTTGTAAAATATGTATTTTTATAAACACCACAAGAATTAGGGCAAGGAAAAATAATCCTCAGTACTATCCTGCCCTTTAATATTATTTTACAACTTTATTATTTAATGCTCCTTTTAGATGAGCTGGCCCTATGCCCTCAGTCCATAAGGAAGAAAACATATTTGCTGTTATGTACTAGCAATATTGTTTACTATCATGATCCCAAAGTAAAGTCAAAAGATAATTGGCTTTGCCATTCAGCTACTGCCAGAAAGAATTCCACATCATGAACAGTGGAAGGCATTATTCCTGTGGCAGGCATTCTTCAAGATACGGAAAAACAGTAATGAGTAATATCGCAAGGAACGTAACTTTCTGGTCAGAGAGCACATTTTATAGCTAATTTATTCTGGCATTATTAGCAGAAGTCATGGAGTTTAGAGATATGTACCAAAGGGGGTACAGTTGATGTTTCCTCGCCATCTGTGGGGTTCTGACTGGTGGCAACATACATCAAGTCATTTCTTGCTTCAGGAATCTGCCATGGTCCACGATGCTGGTCTGTTGGAACTAATTTAAACACTTGGTTGATCAAGCGCTAAATCAGAGCCAAGCCTTCTCCCAAAAGAAATCTTGGTCGTTCCTGCAGTTACTCCTAAGTTGCACCTCCATATAGATGTTCTGTGGAAGAACACCAGCTAATTTTTTTTTAGCATCACCAAAATCACATGAACCCTACCACTTCCTTCTTAGTCTGTAGATGCAAACAGCTCTCAAGCAGCAATAAGCAACTCTGGTTGTACTAGTCACCTTATTTAAACATTACATCACCTGCTGTTCCTTTAGCCAAGAAGGATTCCATGTGGGAAAGGGGTTTTTGAATCACTTGCTTTCTTTTTATTATTATTTGTTTATTTATTCTGAAAGACTTATTTTTATTTTATTTATTCAAGAATCTGGGTACAGGCCAGATGTGTGGGAGGGTGAGAGAATTCACCAGAGACAGAGCGCAGAACAAAATAGGCAGAATGACCGAAATACATTGCTGAGGGGAGCAGCAGGCGAGAAAGGAGAGGTCTGCCGTGCCATGTGGGAATCTCCCTGGCCAGCCTCGAATCGAACCCACGCTGCAGAGGCTGAGGACAGCTTTACAGCACTGCGCTCAACCACCTGCACCACCAGGGAGGCCCGGGAAAGGGGTTTTTGAAGGAAAGATACCATTCATCTCCTCTCAATGTGCTTGATTCAAATAAGTTCTAGACTCAGTTTAAACATAAGACGACTATATAAAAGTATCATATTCCTTTAGCACTCATTGAAATTATTTTTACTAATTTGTACATTCATTTTTTTCAAGTTTTATACAAGATTGTTTTAAGAAACAACAATGATGTGTTTTTACTTCTGTTGATATTTTATAAAATGCATGCTACAGTAATTTTTACAGCATAATTCTCTATTAAAAAACTCCTAATAAGGTATTTATTGAGATTTATTAACAGAAAAATCTCAAAATTTAAAATCAAAATTTTGTTTTCTCAGAAAAAAATTATTTTTCTGTAACTTTTTTTAGTGTGCATTGAGATATTATATTTACTTTTTTAGTGTCTTGTAGAAGACTCAGAATTAGATCTGAGGTATAATTATAGAAATTATGTTAACACTTGGATCTATTTTTGTTTGGTTCCCAGCTCTCATTTTCTATTTGGTTACCTGATTATATCCCTTTTATAACAACTTATTCAAATTATTTTTGGAAGACATTGGGGCCATTGTATTACAGTTGTCAACTTCCATGACAGAGGTGTATGCATGGTGAGAGCCTAGCTATTGTGGACACTAACTGGATAAATCCAGATTAAATCAAGAAGTTCAATAATCAGTACATAAATATGTGTCCTTAAAGGATTGCATACCTCTATGTAAATGCTAAACAAATTAGAAATGAATAGAGGCAAATAAAAATTAGAACACATAGAAGTATACATTCAAAACTGGTAATATGTCATATACTCATTTTAGTTACAGTTGCAAAATAATGAAACCAAAGACAGTTTCACCAGAAATGAAGTTTAGCAATTTTGAGTGGTAAAGAACAAGATGACAAGATTGCATTGTAGATGTGTATAAGTTATTGGGTGTTCTCATGCATGTACATGTTTTTGGAAGATGAGAGAGGACATTTGGGAGAAAAGTAAAGAGGTAAAATACAGCATTTTCATAATGCCTATTATGAGTGAAAGATACCAAAACCATTCTGTTTATGCATAAGAATTTGAATACCAGTGTTAAATTAAGTTTTTTCCTCCCTAGAAGCCCAATAAAGATAAAATGTCATTTCTATTATTAGGAAGGATTGTTCACGATAAAAATGACCCTTAATTTATAAATTTTATTTAGACTGGAAGAATATAAAGATCTGATAGGGAGCCATAATTCTGATCCTCCTGAATACGGTCTTTCTTGTAGTCCCAGGATGTTTTTAAGCTAGCCAGGTTCAGTCCCTTGCACCTGTACTGGTAACCTAAGATAACCATCCTGGCCTAATTTTCCCCTTAGCTTGACTATACTTTGGTCAGATTTTCTCCAGATCGTATCCCTTAACCTCACTCTTTTTAGAGCATGAGTTTTAGAAAACATGCAATTGTAAGTTTTCTCTAAGTCCCTTTGAGAAGTAAATCTTCTATAATTCAGAAATGTCTTCCTCAAGGATCTGGGACCCCTCACTTTGAAATGTGATCATCAAGAAAATGAGGTCCCCAGCTCCATGGAAGTATAGAAGCCTAATTTCAATAAATGATAAATAACAATTAACAGAGATGACTTAATCACTTTGACTAACTTTTCCCTCTGAAGTCCTCTAGTCCTTTCCCATTAGCTCACCCAGTGTTTAAAAATCCTCAAAGACTAATTAATACAAGGTAAAAATCAAATCAACAAGCAACTATGGATCAGACACACTGCGGGGGGGGAGGGGGGAGGAGAGGAAGGATTAGGGTCAAAATAAGGGGGGGTGCAATTGTATGGGGACTATAACCAAAATGAAAATGCATACATTGTGCAAAAATGAAAAATGATGTAAGAATTATATAAAATAAAATATTAAAAAAATCCTCTCGGGCCTCCCCTGGTGGCGCAGAGGTTGAGCGCTGGCTGCCCTCAGCCTCTGCAGCGCCGGTTCAATCCCCAGCCACCGGTTCAATCCCCAGCCACCGTAGAGGGTCCCACATGGCGCACAGAACTCCCCTGCTGCCCGCCGCTCCCCTCAGCAGTGTATTTCCTCACTCTGCCTGTTCTGTTCCCTGCTCTGGCTCTGGTGAATTCTCTCACCCTCCCGCTGTTCTGACTACCCAGTGTTTGTATAAATGAATGAATGAATGAATGAATGAATGAATGAATGAATGAATGAATAAAATCCTCTCACCTTTTATTTTTGGGACGGCGAATGCAATCTGTCTCCCCTATTACATGTAATAGTGATGAATAAAGTCTTCCTTGCTGTTTTTAACAAGAATTAAGTGCAGTTTCTCTTTTACAGCGGAGTATGAGGGTGGAAAGAGTGCTGTGTGGACTGCTGCATTAACTGCCGCCAGGATTCCCTCTGAAGAAGAAATGTGGTGCCGTCTTTCTCTGCAAGCAAGCTGTGTCTTCTGTCCTTTATCTTCTGGATTTGGATAGGCCAAAAGGGGCTCTGTCCTATGAAGATATAAATGCTTAATCAAACATAATATTCCCCTGGTGAATGTTGTCTTGTGTTCTACTTATGAAGACCCCATTCTGCCATGTCGCCACTATTTCTCGTTTTATCCCTCATGGAGCTTGCTTTCAACTGAAAAGGCAAGTGTTACCAATAAGTTGAATGATGAGTCCTCACTAATTTACTTCATGTTTTTTTGTAATTACATGATCCTGAATTATTTTATGGCTTTTGAGAAAATCCTCCTGAACTTGCCTTTATAATGGAGCTACTAACTTGTGTTGGGACTTTTGAAGAATAATGCAGGGATTTTAGCTAGCTGTCAGCAAAATAGGACTTTCTTCATGTATAAAGGAGCTGTTGTTGTCTCCTTTATTTAAATATTTATGAAAATTTTATAATATAAAAAATTGGGTACAAGGCCTCCCTGGTGGCTCAAGGGGTAAAGACGCAACCTGTGAAGCAATTCACAGCCTCTGCAGCATGAGTTCGATTCCCGGCTGGCCAGGGAGCAACCCACATGGCGCAGCAGACCTCTCCTGCCTCGTCCACTACTCCCCTCAGCAGCGTACTTCAGTCAATCTGCCTGTTCTGTTCCCCACTCTGTCTCTGGTGAATCCTCTCACCCCCATCCCCATGCCTCTGGCCTGTACCCCAGCTCTTGTATACATAAATAATTTTTTTAAAAATGAAGTTCTCTTTGGAGCCCGCCCTTAAAAAAAATTGGTTCAGGAGAGAAAGAAAACTACAGGCATTCTGTAATAAGTGAAGTTTGTTTTTTGAGGAGGGGATGAGAATAAACTTATTCCCTGGCAGCTAGTACAGAGGTTGCTCTGGATAGCCTGCGTTGGGGTCATCTCTTAGGGGGGAAAAAAAAAACCTACAGTTGTTTATGGATTCTTTGAAAACTCCTGCTGTTTTAGTGGGGGGTATAGATGATATGCCATCTCTGTATTGTCTACCAGGCTATTTTCAATGGATACATTTTCCCTTAATTGTTAGTCCAAGTCTGCAGTATTTCCTCATCAGGATTTCTCAGCTCATTCAGACAGCCTTGGTTTGGACAGGATAATGGTAGATATTCCTTCCTGAGCACTGAATGTGTTTTTCAAAACAATTACATAGATTCAATTGATCAAACCAAAAACACTGTTCACAGACCTATCCATAGAGCAGAGAAGAACCAAAGAAAGAAAGGAGGAACTTTTGACTCATTTTATTTGTTTATTTTTAATAATATGGAACGCTTCACGAATTTGCGTGTCATCCTTGTGCAGGGGCCATGCTAATCTTCTCTGTATCGTTCCAATTTAAGTATATGTGCTGTCGAAGCGAGCACTTTTGACTCATTTTAATCCTTTTAATGATCCTTCAAATATAGGTCATGTATTTGAAGGAAAGTATGTTTAGGACTTGGGAAAATTATTTCAAATAGATTCTAACTCTAAAATTAAAGTACATTCTGGCAGATAATGGATTGCTGCAAAATTATTATATATACTTTATCTAAAGAGCTGTCAAAAATTTATAAATGAATACCACATTGTCTGAAGTACAGAGAATACAGACAGCTTCCTTGGACTAATGCTAGCTGTTGGCTTTTAAATGCATAATAATTATGTCTTCACTGATAATTCTTCCAAGAACTTGTTTTCTGTATCTCCTGATTGTAATTCTCTTCCTCCTCCTCCTCCAAATCCTCCTGCTGTTAACCTTTCCTTTTTGATTTTTATTATCTAATCTATACAATGATGGATTCTCTGGAATGAAAGGATTTACTAGATAATAGGATTTTGTAGAGATGGGAATGGCAATTTAAATCTGGGAAAACCATATTCGCTTAAGTGAGAAAAATAAGAAAAACACCTCTAGAGCTACTCCTTTACATGTCACAGATGAAGGACTATGTGATATTATAGGAGAAATTTGTACTCCAGATTTTGGAAAATGGGACTTTGTCAGACATTTACTTAAATCTATCAACATTCTTAAACTCAGTTACATTACTCTAGGTGCCACAGGAGTTACAAGAGTGAGGAGGAGCCCATAAGTCCCACATAGGATTTATGACCACATTGAATTCCTTATTATACAGGAGTCCTCACTTTGGCATCTAGTCATTTCAGATCCGTATAACTAGTACGGGACCTGTCAGGGCCCAGGATATGGTTATTGAACCAAAGCACACAAAATTGCCTTACAGGAACAGAGATGTGAGTTACCTAATGCAATGGGTGATTCATAGAAAACTGTCACATTAACTAATCAAGAATTATTTCTCTTCACCAATAACCCCTTAAAATATATCTCAACTCTTTCCCTTTGAGTTAAGGGAAGTATAATCTTGATCTGCCAGAGGAGAAGCAAACTAGCAAAAAAATAATAACCACTGTTGACTACTGAGTCCTTATATCACACTGAGTATTCTACAGCATGTGTTATATGTTTTATCTCACTTTATTTTCATATAATTCTATGAAAAAAACAATGAAGCAACTAAGACCCTGAGGTGAATAATTTTTGCAGAGTTGTGGAGAGAAATAGGGATTACAGCTCTGTTCTGTCTAACTTCAAAACCCATTTCCTTACATTGGTTTTCACTATTTCAGAAGCATGAGAAAATTACCTGCAGCCACTAGATAAATGCCTCCAATAAGCCAGAAACTTTGACAGATACGCTTATTCAAAGGTTAATGCATTCAACACTGACTGGAAATTGCTCATTGATAAAAGGTATGGTAAACTTTGATTTTCTTAAGTAAGCTATCTGAAGCTGGTATTTAAAATGTCTTTTCCTCTCATTTCCAAATCCTATTTGCAATACATGTTATGGCAAAAATGTATGTGAGTTTTGACTGTCACCTCCAAATGTATGTGAGTTTTTATTGCACTTTTCTTTCTAGAGATATACACCAACAAAGAAAGGACTGGAGAGGAGAATGGAAATTAATATTTTAGGTGTTTACTGTGTACCAGATATTAGTGGTAATAACAGGGTTTAATTTCCAAAAGCCTTCTCCTGACCTAAAGTTCATTTTTTCCCCACTCCATAACACCAGTTCTCCAGAATTTACTAATGTATCTGGCAAGCATTTAGTTGTCCTAGCTCCAGTGTCTAGCTGCAGATTTTGGGGCAGATCTCTCTAAGCAACAGTTTTCTTATCTATAAATTGGGCTTAATGATTTTGATTATCTCATAGGACTGTAGGATTAAATAATTTTCTGAACATCGTATCAGTCAATCTTTCCATGACGCTGAGAGTGTAAGAAATGTCACCTTTTACATTTATCTAAATGATATTAACCACTTTAATATCTATAGCCAAGATTGGTGCTATCTTAACATTGCTAAAATCCAGACATCACTCCTCCAGTACATAGATTAATACATAGATTCCCCCATTACTCAGTTAAAAAGAAAACAAGGCCTTGATGCCAAGACCGCTAGTGTAATGCAATACCCTGGCACAGCTGAGGCTATAAGGAAGTTGTTCTCATCCTCTGCCGTAGGAATGTCACCGGAGTCCACAAGGCTATTCCTGGCTTGCACATAGGTACTCATGGAGCTGTTCCCCTCAGAGGGTTTGCTATCTCAGGGTTGCTGTGAGCCTGAAGAATCCAAGTTGCCTTCCTTTCTTCACTACCCACCCCCTCATTTGAGCTGGTTGCCATGCATGGCTGAAGCCTTATCCGATAGCTTTAATTTACCAACAGATGTCTAAAGTTTGTTATTGGCTTTGTTTTACTGGCACTTTGTTTTGTTTCTCTATATTATCTATATACGTGAAACCATGTGATATTTGTCTTTCTCCTCCTTTCTTATTCTGCTAAGCATAATCCCCTCAATTCCATTCATGTCATCTCAAGTGGCAAGAGTTCATCTTTTTTAATCATTGACTAGTGTTCCACTGTGTTTATGTACATCTTTATCCACTCATCTGTGCAGTATTGAACATAGGCGTGCATATATCCCTTCAAATAAGTCGTTTTGCTTTCTTCAGGTAGATACCTAGGATTGGAATTGCTGTATCATATAGTTGATCTCTCTAGCAATTTTGAGAAACCTCCACACTGTTTTCCATAAGAACTGGACGAGTCTACATTGCCACTAACAGTGTACAAAGGTTCCCTTTTCTCCACATCCTCACTAACACCTCTTATTTTTGAACTTTTGATATGAACCACCCTCACAGGTGTGAGATAGTATCTCATTGTGGTTTTGGTTTGCGTTTTCCTGAGTAAGGATGAACAGTTTTTCATATGCCTGTTAATTTCTGCTTTAATGTCTTCATTGACCCAGTGATTATTGAGAAGTTCTTTTTAAATTTCCACATATCTGTGGTTTTTCACATTTTCTTTTTTTTTTCTTTTTTTTTTAAATTAATAAATTTTATTTTTATATTCCCCATACAATTGCAATCCCCCCATTCTGACCCCAATCCCTCCCCTCCCGCCCCCCACCCCCCAAAAAGTGTCTCTGGTTCATAGTTTTTGTTGATTTTGATTTTCACTTTCTTATAGTTATTCATTTTCCTGGTCCCTTATTTAAGTTTTCTAGATCCCTGCTATGAGTGAGACCATCCGGTATTTTTCTTTTTCTTTTTGGCTTATTTCACTGAGCATGATCCCTTCCAGCGCCATCCATGTTGCTGCAAATTGCATGTGTTTATCTTTTTTGAATGCTGAGTAATATTCCATGGTATATATGTACCACATCTTCTTGATCCAGTCATCTAATTTTGGGCATTTGGGCTGTTTCCAAAGCTTAGCTATTGTAAACAGTGCTGCTATAAACATAGGGGTGCAGGTGTTCTTTGGAATTGATGTTTCTGTGTTCTTTGGGTAAATACCTAGGAGTGGAATTGCTGGATCCTGTGGAAGCTCTATGTTTAGTAGGTCCAGAAATCTCCACACAGCTCTCCATAGTGGTTGGACCAGTTTGCACTCCCACCAACAGTGCAGAAGAGTTCCTTTTTCTCCACAACCTCGCCAACATTTGTTGTTGCTAGTTTTTTTAATATGTGCCATTCTCACTGGTGTAAGATGGTATCTCATGGTAGTTTTAATTTGCATTTCCCTGATTGCAAGTGATGTTGAACATTTTTTCATATGCCTGTTGGCCATTCGCATTTTCTCTTCAGAGAAGTTTCTTTTTAGTTCCTCTGTCCATTTTTTGACTGGATTATTTTCTTTGTTGTTGTTGAGTCTCATCAGCTCTTTGCAGATTTTTGTGATCAGTCCTTTATCATTAGTGTTGTGTGCAAAAATTTTCTCCCAGTTGGTGGGGTTTCTCTTTGTTTTTGTTATTGTCTCTTTTGCTGTGCAGAAGCTCTTTAATTTGATGTAGTCCCAGCTGTTGATCTTTGCCTTCACTATCACTGCTTTGGGTGATGTGTTTGTAAAGATGTCTTTGATATGCAAATCACGTAGTGTTTCGCCTATATTTCCTTCTATGTATTTTATGGTTTCAGGTCTTATGTCTAGTTCTTTAATCCATTTTGAGTTGATTTTTGTATATGGTGTGAGGTAGTGGTCAAGCTTCATTCTTTTGCATGTAGCGACCCAGTTTTCCCAGCACCATTTATTGAACAAACTTTCTTTGCTCCAATGCATAGTCTTTGCTCCTTTGTCAAAGATTAGTTGACCATAAATCTGTGGGTTTATTTCTGGATTTTCTATTCGATTCCATTGGTCTGTATGTCTGTTCTTGTTCCAATACCATGCAGTTTTGATGATTGTGGCTTTGTAGTAGAGTTTGAAGTCTGGGAGTGTGATGCCTCCATTCCCTTCTTTTTTTTTCAGTAGAGCTTTGGCTATTCGGGGTTTTTTGTGATTCCATATGAATTTCATCAATAATTGTTCTATTTCTTTGAAGAATGACATTGAAATTTTGATTGGAATAGCATTGAATCTGTATATTGCTTTTGGTAGAATGGCCATTTTAATAATGTTTATTCTCCCAATCCATGAGCAGGGGATGTCTTTCCATTTCTTTGTGTCTTCTTCTATTTCTTTTAACAGTGTTTTATAGTTTTCTTTGTATAGGTCCTTTACCTCTTTTGTTAGATTTATTCCCAAATATTTGATTTTTTTTGTTTCAATAAGAAAAGGGATGGTTTTTTTGATTTCTTCTTCTTCAGATTTATTGTTTGTATATAGGAAGGCTACTGACTTTTGCGTGTTGATTTTGTATCCTGCCACTTTACTGAACTGATTGATGAGTTGAATTAGTTTTTCTGTGGAGTTTTTGGGGTTCTCTATGTATATTATCATATCATCTGCAAAGAGTGATAGTTTGACTTCTTCTTTTCCTATTTGGATTCCTTGGATGTCTTTCTCTTGTCTTATTGCTCTGGCTAGGACTTCCAGTATTATATTGAAAAGCAGTGGTGAGAGTGGACATCCTTGTCTTGTTCCAGATCTTAATGGAATTGCTTTCAGCTTTTCACCATTGAGAATGATACTGGCTGTTGGCTTGTCATATATGGCCTTTATGATGTTGAGGTACGTTCCTTGTATCCCAAGAATTTCAAGGGCTTTTATCATGAATGGGTGTTGCACTTTGTCGAAAGCTTTCTCAGCATCTATTGATATTATCATATGGTTTTTATATTTCTTTTTGTTGATGTGTTGGATAACGTTGATTGATTTTCGGATGTTAAACCATCCTTGTGTCCCTGGAATGAATCCTACTTGGTCGTGGTGAATTACCTTATGGATACACTGTTGGATTCTGATAGCTAAAATTTTATTGAGGATTTTTGCATCAGTGTTCATTAGGGAGATTGGCCTATAGTTTTCTTTTTTTGTGTTGTCCTTGTTCTGTTTTGGTATTAGTGTAATGTTGGCTTCGTAGAACGTGTTAGGTATTATACCTTCCTTCTCAATTTTTTGGAAGAGTTTGTGAAGGATAGGTACCAATTCGTCTCTGAATGTTTGGTAGAATTCATTTGTAAATCCATCAGGTCCTGGGCTTTTGTTTTTGGGGAGGTTTTTGATTACCATTTCAATTTCGCTAATTGTAATTGGTCTGTTTAGGTGTTCTATTTCTTCTTTATCTAGCTTTGGGTGATTGTAGAGTTGTAGGAATTTGTCCATCTCCTCTAGATTGTTAAACTTGTTTCCATATAACTGTTCATAGTAGTTATTAATAATTCTTTTGATTTCTGCTGTGTCCGTTGTGATTTCTCCTCTTTCATTTATTATCCTATTTATTTGTGCTTTCTCCCTTTTTGCCCTTGTGAGCCTGGCAAGGGGTTTATCTATTTTATTTATTTTTTCGAAGAACCAGCTCTTGGTTTCATTGATCTTTTGGATTGTTTTTTTAGTTTCGATTTCATTTATTTCTGCTTTGGTTTTTATTATTTCTTTTCTTCTACTGGTTTTGGGGCTTTTTTGTTGTTCTTTTTCTAGATCTTTGAGTTTCGAGATTAGGTTGTTTCTTTGAGTTCTTTCTTGTTTCTTGATGTGAGCATCTATTGCTATATATTTTCCTCTTATTACTGCTTTTGCTGCGTCCCATACATTTAGGAAATTGGTGTCCTCCTTGTCATTAAATTCAAAGAATTTTTTAATTTCTTCTTTTATCTCCTCGTTAGTCCAGTGGACTTCCAGTAGTGTGGGTTTCAATCTCCATGAGGTAGGAGAGTTCCTTGCCTTCTCTTTATGGTTTATTTCTAGTTTGATGCCTTCATGGTCAGAAAAGATGGTTGGTATGATTTCATTCTTGGTAT